ATTCTCAATTTTTTCAAGACGGCAGTCAGCGCTGCAAACTTGCAAGCTTCCACTTGGACCAAGAATGGATGACGCAAATTACCATAATGACCCTGCTTTTTGGTTTAAATATATTTTTTGATATTAATTTATTTGAAGCAACACGTGGCATGTCTATTTGTGATCGGAAGGTGGAGATTTGTTAATGCAATTACATGTTTTCTAGGTGTAAATCTTTTTTTTTTTTTTTAATCAGTGTATAATTATTATTATTAATTTTTTTTTATTACAGTTGGATCATTACTATTATGGTTGACCTAAAAAATAAAACATTGCAACTAAATCACGTGGACCTTGTATTATTTAATGATCATCACTGTAAAAAAGATTTGAATTTGTGCCAGAATTTTCTATTTTGTCCATATTTACACATGTGACCCTTAGGAGTAGAAGTCCCATCACATAAAAAATAAGTTTTATTACAGATTCGGTGTGTAGTATATAATTTTGACATAATAGTCCTTGGAATGGGGTTCTAATAACTTTGTGCTGATTTTAGGGGATTAAATTACAATTCTTGGAAATTCTTTACGTTCTAAATGGCCCCCCCTTAGGATTAGAGAAATTGTGTTTGTGGCCCCTACATGATTGGGTAATTGACAATTATGCCATGTTTGATGCTAGTGATAAATCTAGAATGATAAGAGGCAATGTGGCTACTAGCTAGCTAAGAATGGAATGAAGTGTGATTTGAATTATAGATTGTGACATTAATTATTATTCGACAAAAAACATTAACTTATCGACATAATTTAGTGTCTCCTTGGACTAATTAGCGAAGCATTAGGACAAATCCGATTAGAAGGAACAAAATGAATTATTTGCCATTTTTTTGTTTGTTATTTTCTTCGTGTTTCTTAGAAAACTAGAAAACAAATCGAGACGAAGTCCAGAAAGCAACCTCGTGAAACACGACAAAATTGATAAATACCGACACTAAATGTTGAGTTTTAGAGGACAAATTGAGCAAACTTTTATCGATATTTTCTCTTACTTTGGTAATTTGTTTCTTTCGTTTGGGGAGACGAGGGTCCTAAGACACCCCCCCCATATAACATAGTTCATATAAAACATAGTTCATAAAGTTGGGAAACATATTGGTCCCTTCTTCATATGTGATAAACACATGATAGATTACATATATATACATATATATGTATGTCTATGCTCTAGTGCAATAATGCTATATGTATTTTCTGCATGAAGTAATTAGGTCCACTCATTTGGCACATTGCTAAGTAATCAATAATTCATTAGCTCTCAACTAATCAATACTTCCTTCGTTCCACGGTAACTGTCGCTTTAAAGAAATATTTTTGTTTCATGTTATCTGTCATTTCATTAAATGCATTTTTTTTCTTCCTGTTTTACCCTTATTAACATTCGTCGTATTGTTACAAGGTTCTACGCATCCGAGGTTGTGGTAGCCCTCGAATACCTACACATGATGGGCATCGTGTACCGCGATCTCAAGCCCGAAAACGTCCTAGTCCGATCCGACGGGCACATAATGCTCACCGATTTCGACCTCTCCCTAAGGTGCGACGACTCCACATCCACCCCCGCGCAGGTGATCCCGGCCCAGAACCATACACCGGCCCCACCCCAGAGCGAGTACGCAATGGACCCACCCAAATTCGGCGCCACATCATGCATCCTCCCAAATTGCATCGTACCCTCCGTCTCGTGCTTCAACCCTATGCGCAGGCGCAAGAAGAAAGCCCTGGCCGGCCGCCATGTGGGCCCCTCGTTCGTGGCGGAGCCGATCGACGTCCGGTCGATGTCGTTCGTCGGGACCCACGAGTACCTTGCCCCCGAGATAGTCTCGGGGGAAGGGCACGGGAGCGCGGTCGACTGGTGGACGTTGGGAATATTCCTTTTCGAGCTCTTCTACGGCGTGACGCCGTTCCGGGGCATGGACCACGAGGTAACCCTAGCGAACATAATGGCGCGGGCGCTCGAGTTCCCGAAGGAGCCGGTGGTCCCCGCATCGGCCAAGGACTTGATAACGCTGCTGCTCGCAAAGGACCCTTGCCGGAGATTGGGATCGACGATGGGCGCTTCGGCTATTAAGCACCACCAATTTTTCGGAGGGGTAAATTGGGCACTCTTGAGATGTACAACACCACCTTTTGTTCCTCCTATTTTCACTAGAGATGTTCTCTCTGATGAGAGCTGCCCTTGATACCCCTGTCGAATATTACTAGTGGAATATAATATATATTTTAGTAAAACAAATAAATTAATATTGTAAATAATGCTCTTATCTTTTTTTTTAACATGCATGCATGGGTCAAATATTTATGTTATATCCCACATATTTTTTCATAATTTTGCCTCGAAATCGAATTATTCTAATACATTTTTGTAATTTAATATATATATGAATATATCACTAAATATTTATAGAATAATGTTGTGTGACGTGTCTACAATTGATTAGTTACAATGTTTATTTATTTATTTATTTTTTGGTCTAGGAGCCCATGTTTTTTTGTAATGATAAATTCATATGGTGACAAAGGGAATTTTGTTTTTCAATTTCAATTTTTTATTTTAATATTATTATATAATTTTGTGTAAGTCAACATTAGGTTTTGTATATGGGATGAAGGATGTGGACAATGTACCATGTAAAAAATAAGACAAAGACAACCATTGCATTTCATTGCATGATAAACCCACTTGCCAATACCATGTGGGCATCATTATTTCGTGCGTGTTTATGTATGTATTATGTATACTTTGTATTAATATTTAATAGACGGTGACTATTATATTTTTATTTTTATTTGTATAATTTTAGCAAATTTATTTTTTATTACTTAGCACATAAACTGAAAAATGAGATTTTTTGTGTTTAATTTTTTTAAATTAAAATGAAAAACGACTTTTTAGATCTATATTCTTATGGATTTTCTTCAATAGTAAGTCGAAACATTAAAAAGACTTAATTTAAAACGGATGGAGTATATAAAAGGCATTTTTTTCGCTTTTCTAGCATCGAAATGTTCGAGGTAAAATAGACAAAACACGAATCGAGAAATAAAAAAGAAATCGAAAAAATGATTTTCGAAGTTATTTTAAGCCATAAATTGAGTTTCATGGAATTGCTCCCACCACGTGGTTACGTATACATCGATGGAAGAATGTAGGGTTGGGATGTTTTGTAATCACCTAATCAATGACGTAATTTGATTTAATTCTATTTAATCAAATAGTACAGTGCTACAGTTTCATTTTAATATTACTTGTAACGATGTATTTTTGTATTCTGGACAAATTAAAGTAATTCAAATACTTTCTATGCAACAGGTCTTTTAAAAAGGAAGAAATTAGCTGGAAGCCCTTCAAAAAGAAAAAAATATACTTTTAAGGACACACGGATTTTGATATTTTTTTACATGTGTTATTTACCTATTCATATTAAATTTCAAACACCCTTATCTAAAATCCTGGATTCGCCAACATTTATATATACGGATGTATGGACTATTTGTAACGTATTATCTCGTTTTGAAGTTTTATGCGACAACATACTCCAATTGCGAAGAAAGTGTTCAAATGGTGCTATGTATATATAAGCCTTGTATTCAGTATACAATATAAGAGAAGTTACACGTGAATTAGTTCGAAATCAAGAAAAGCATTGTAAGGAGATACAAAGATGCCTCATATACATAAATACATAATACGATTGGGCAATATTCAAAAAAATTATATATCGGTTGCAAATATGGATGAATGATCCAAAATTACGGAGGCGAGTATTACGCGCGCCTGTATTCGTCACCACAGTCACCGATTATTTTCATTAGATCTTTGCCTTTCTGGGTAACTTCGAGAATGCTGCTAACATCTTCAACGTCGAGTTCAAGGGAAAATATAGCATTGGCATCTTTGATGTGATCCGAAAGACCAAGCCTAACACCTATCATCGATCCCGCCACACCTTGCTGCATTATTTCAACCCATATTACCACAAGATAAAAATCAACTCATATATATATATATATATATATATATATATATATATATATATATATATATATATATATATATATATATATATATATATATATG